TTCCAACTCCTTGTAGTGTACTGGCCTCAACAAATTAGCTGAGCAGCCTGACTCATCCGCCAGCCTGCCACTTACTCCTTAATATCCCTACCTACCTAGTGAGTCCTCTTTTACCATTGCTCTTTCTGGTCCCTTCCTGTTACTCCTCAGTAAGAGAAAGTGATGTATTGTATATTCCTAATCTGTCAGTGCTGGTAGACATCCTGCCTTCTGTCTTGCCTCCCTTAGATCATTGTGGTCTGTTTATTTGCCATTTTTTTAAACGAGTGCAGCAGGGCCACCAAGTTCATACTACCAGCAGATGTCCAGAATAACTGGCTTGAATACACAGGTAGAGGTGCAATTAATATTTCATCTTCTCAGTTTTCCTTTATCAATACCAGATCAGATCCCCAACAGCAGCAACTTGTGTGCCCTCCACTGCTGTGTGGTCAAAGCCAGCAGTTGTCACTTTGTTTAAATTCTAGCACGGAGCCAGGTTCTTCTTTGTGCTTAAACACTGCGGTCATCAACATGTTAGCGGCTCCTCCTGTCTGTGTGCCTCATTGTCGCTCCTGCTGCTGTCCTGTGCTGGGGTCTAAGGCTGCCTATACACATGCCTGAAGGTGGAGCGGGGGGTGTTTTAATTAAAGTGGTTTATCAGGCAGCCACTCTAATTAAAACGCTTCGTCGTCACATGTATTAAGCCCCCACGTATTTAAAAATGGCCACGGGACACTTTAACGAAACCTTGTTGAATGAGGTTTAGATAGGGTCCCGTGGCCATTTTAAAACATGCAAGGGCTTAATACACGTGATGCGACTCTGCCGCGTTCTAAGTAGAACGCCAACGAGCATATGCATAGGCACCCTAAGATGCTTGTATTGTGGGGTGAAATGAAGATGCCATAAGCTCTCACTTGCAACTACTGCAACCTGGAGATATTTGAGGCTGTAGCCAAGGAAATGGGAACACAGGGCCACCAGTAGTGCCATGCAGTGGTGCAACATCGCTAAAGACTTGAAATTGGACTACAGACAGGCAAGGGAGAGAAACAGCATCCCTTGTGATAGGTTACCCACATGTTTGTACTCTGAGAAGTTGAACAGCATCTTGGGATGAGATGCCGGCAACTAGCCATGGGTTTTGTGGCAGACGTGGGAGGGGCTGGATTACCCTGAGAACAGAGAGGCTGACCAGCAGAACCTAACTAGGATAACCAGGTCCTCTGTGAGTGGGAGTGCTGTTGGGAGCATAGTAACCAAGAGAACAGTAAGTGTGCTTATATTTTCGTCAACTGCTAGCATATGTTGAGATTTTGACAGTTGGCATTTATTTTTATTCCTGGCACTGGGTGCTGGTAACATGAGTAGATGTGAGTGAATACCCGTTTTTGAGTTCTGCTCCTCCTTCCTCCATGGTCTAGCCTCCCTCTGCATGCCCACGGTGGTGGCCATAAGCAAAGATTAGCAAACGTGCACTCATCTCTTAGTTGAGCCGCCCCTTACACTCCACATCTACGTCACAAGCTCTGGAATTCCCTACCCTCTCTTCTGCTGA